TACAAAAGAATAGCTCGGCATGCAGGGATAAAATCAGAAAGGCTAAGGTACAAAAGAGGCAGTAAGGAGAGGTTCTATAAACATATCAGGAACAAAAGAAACATGAAGGAAAGTATAGGTTCACTACTTAGAGGGGAAGGAGAGCTAATACCAGATACCAAGAAGGCTCAGGTGCTTGATGCTTATATTGCTTCAGTCTTATTAAAAAGATCAATTATGACCAGCTGCTTAACTCAATTAATATTAACAAGGTGGAAGGAACACAAGGGAAAATAGGGAAATAACAGATTAAAGAATATTTAGATGAATTATATGTATTCAAGTAATCAAGGCCTGATGGAATTCACCCTAGGCTTAAGGAACTAATTGAAATCTAAGAATCTTGAAACCATTTGAGTTATGTTTGAGAACTCATGGAAGATGGGTAAGATCCGAGAGGGCTAAAGAAGAGCAAACATTCTGAGGAACAAAGGACTCAGGGAATTAGATCAGTCAAACTAACTTTAATTCCTGGAAAGATACTAGAACAGTTTTATTAAAAATCAATGTGTAAGCACCTAGAGGATAATAGGGTTATAAGGAATAGTCAACATGCGGGGGTGGGGGGAGATGAGGAATATGTTTATAACATTTGCAGATGACGCCACATAGGGTGAAGTTGCAAGCACTTTGGAAGACAGGAATTCAAAATAACCTTGACAAATTGGAGAAATGGTCTGAAATCAGCAACACGAAGCTCAAAAAAGACAAGTGCAAAGCACTATAGTTTGGAGGGAAAATCAAATGCACAACAAAATGGGGAATAAAGGGTTAGACAGTAGTACTGGGAATTATAGTAGACCACAAATGGCATATGAACCAAAAATGTGATGCAGTTTTGAAAAAAGGCTATTATCAGTCTGGGGTGTGTTAGGAGTGCCGTATGCAAGATGCAGGAGGTAATTGTTCTTCTGTACTCAGCACTGGTGAGGCATTGTCTGGAGTACTATGTCCAGGTGTTGGTGCCGCATTCAAAGAAAAATATGGAGAAATGAGAGTTTAGCAGAGAGCAACAATAAATGATAAGTGTTTGGAAAACATAAGCTATGAGGAAGCTAAAAAAACTGGGCATGTTTAATCTCAAGGAAAGAAGACTGTGGGGAGGGAGGGGACCTGACAAGTCCTCAAATATATTAAGACCTGTTATAAAGAGGATGGCAATCAATTGTTCTGCATGTCTACTGAAGGTAGGCCAAAGAATAATTGGTTTAATCTGCAGCAAAGGAGATTTAGTTTAGATATTAGGGGGGAAAAAACCTTTCTAACTGTAAGGCTACTTAAGTCCTGGAATAGATTACCAAAACAGATTGTGGAATCCCAGTCATTAGGTTTTCAAGAACAGGTTAGACAAATATCTGTCAGGGATGATCCAGGTTTACATAGTCCTGCCTCACTGCAGGGGGCTGAACTTGGATGACCTCTTGAAGTCCCTTCCAGCCCTACACATCAGTGCTGGAACTCGAGGTGCTGGGGGAGGGGGCTGCCACACCCCCTAGCTTGAAGTGGTTTCCATCCTATACAGGGTTTACAGTTTGGTTCAATGGCTCTCAGCACCCCCACCATACTTCCCCCCCCCCCGGCCCTTCATTCCTATGATTCTATGAATGTAACCCATAAATGTATTGAGCATAAAATATGGTTTCAACCTCACATTTTTCTCAACCAGCAAAGTAATACATCAATACTTATAAATCAGTTATGAAGCAAAGGTTTGACTTCCCAGAAATTGTAATGGTTATCAGGGTACCAACTGAAGCTATTTTGTTATTTCATCTTCAGAGTAAAGTAAGAAAAAACCTCAAACCATATTTACCATAATTACTATATCTTGTTTGGATTTATTTATCCTCATGCATCTTCTAAATAAGCATGGCTTCTAATACACTGCATTGTAAAGACAAGTGGCCTGACTTTCAGAAGTGCTGAACATCCACAATTCCCACTGAAGTAAATGGGAACTACAAGTGTTTAGTACCTATAAATCTGCAGGTACGAAGGGCTGTATTGTAATTAACCCTGTAACTCGCTTAAGGGGGAGCTATTTGGTTCATTCTTCCTGTTCCATCCAAGGGACTGGTGGGGCGTAATCTGTGTCTGCAGAAGGGTTCTGTGTTGGCTCTGGTATATGGCCCAGTGCATTTGGGGACAGAGCCGCTTTTGCCACTGCCTGTTTCTGTGTAGGATGTGAAATGGCAGCCTGGTGGCAGCTTCTCTTTTCAGCTTTTGAACTCTCTCCAAGAAAGGGTTTGGCCCACAATGGGGCATTTTACTCCCCTCTGTTGCTTTGCAGCAGGGCCTGTGTTTGAGCCATAAATAAGGGCAGCTCCTAAAGAAAGAGACTGGCTCTAATGCACCAAGGATATAACATAACTGAAGACCTTACCCCGGAGATGAGTTTGGCATGTTGTCTATGGTGTGTTTGAATATTTCAGTAGTCATTACAGTGCTGCTCTACACTGTAAACTCATATATGAATGGCTACTCCAAAATAAATAAATCTCAATACTGTACATTCAAATAAATAATATAAACAATTTCCTGGTCAACACAAGACTCATCTTAGGCAAATGATGTCAGCAAATCCTACAAGTCACTGCCAAAGGGCTTCATTTAGCAATTGTTATTGGGTGTTTTTCATTTTTATTTACCTTATTTTTCTGTCTAGCAGGGTCAACACTAGGTCAGCATATAATGATCTATAATGAGTCTGTATCTGCAACTGCTGAAACCAGACACAATTACTGTAGGTCAGCTTGCCATTTTCTACATGTTTTACTGTCGGTACCAAAATGCCTGGACCCGAACACAATGTTCCATTTCAAATGGAGCTCATATACTTGTTCAACCAGGGACACTGCAAGGTCTCGGGAAACTGCTTTATTTCCAGAAAGAGTTTGCTTCCCTGTGAAGTGGATGCATACTTTGTATTCTGTCTAGCACTTGAGTGAAATTTTGGACAGTAACAAATATTAAAGCACAGCTTGCAACAGAGTCTTTTATATTGTACTTTAACTGTGGCTGAAGATGCAATATTGGCTGTCCCGGTATTACAGTGACAGCATTATGAATAGGCCCTACCAAATTCAGGGTCCACTCTGGTCAATTTCATGGCCAGAGGGTTTTCATTTGGTCAATTTCACGATTTCAGATGTTTATATTTGAAATTTCACAGTATTGTAACCAGGGGGGGTCTTGACCTAAAATGGGATCGTGGGGGGTTGCAAAGTTGTGGGGTGGGGGGGTGTCCCAAGATTGTCACCCTCACTTCTTTGCTGCCTAGGCAGCAGCCTCTGAGCTTCCTGCAGTTAGAGGAGATTCTGGGAGGTGGAGGTAGGTAGGATCTCCCCCACGCTACTAGGAGTTCCCTAGCCGGGGGCTGCTAGTCCAGGCCAGTGACAGATTAAGGCAGGGGTCCCTGGCCAATATGGGGGTCCACTTGAAAAATGGGTGCCCCAGCCCCAGAAGAAACTATAGGGTGGAAGAACGGTGGGGGGTGCCCTTAGCTCCAGCTGGAGCAATGGGGAGCAGAAGCCCCCAGCTCTGGCTGGAGCGGGGGGAGGCCCCGAGCCCAGTCTGCCCCAGCTGCAGCCACTGGGAGCAGAAGCCCCCACCCCAGCAGGAACTGCTGTGGGAGGAAGGGGAAGCCAGGAGCTCGGCGCCCAGAGCTGCGGCAGGAAATGCGGGGGTGGGAGGGAGAGGGGACGGAGGCACACAGCCCAGCTCCCGGACTGCCCGTGCTGCCTCTGGAGGTGGATCTGATCTCCCCACCAAGAGCAGTCATACAGGGGAAGGACAAGTCCTATCCCTCCTCAGTGTGTCTGGACTAGCAGTTAGGACTCAGAGCCCCAGGCTCCCAGCAGCCGAGGAGATCAGATTTCATGGGGGTGGGCTGATTTTTGGTAGGGTCCTAATTTTGTACAGTGTGGGTCAAATGGTGCAGTCTAACTCAGCCAAAAAATCTGACCTCATGCAATTATGTGGCTGTAAATGAAGGGAGTAAAAATAGAAATATTCCTTGAGCCACTAGAGAGCACAAATTCTTCTGATTAAAGAACAAACATTAATGGCAGAACTAAAAGAGGCCATGTGTTACTCTATCCTGACCAAAGGGTGAAAGTCATATAGCAGTGGCTAGCAGAAGAATTAGGTTGGAGAAATAAAGCAGGAGAAAATCAAATCAGTGTCTCCAGAATGACAGACTGAGCTTTATCAATGCAGTGACACCACAGGCACTCTGGCTAGCACAGTAAATAATGATAGAACTATAGTTGCTCTGCACAGGGTCCTCCCCATTCACTGCCCCTTCTCTACCACCTCCTAACAGCCTGAGAAATAAGGGTTTGTCAGGGAGCTCTGCTGTTGGAAAGGAGTCAGTATACTTAGGTAGGCCACTGTTGTGTAGTTCTACCTTACTGCAGGTGCTATTCGACCCATGAGCTGAACTGTTATCAGTTTCTCTGCACCCCCTTTGATGGGAGTATTGAGCCATTGGAGTTGCCAAAGTATTGATACTGTGGACCCTTCCCTGACCTGTCTCACAAGTCTAATGAGGGCTAGAATGGAGAGCATCTTAACAGAGCACAGGGACACAGAAGCCCCACTAGGTGCCACTCCAGCCACAACCTCTTTCCTTTTATAGCCCCACAGTAGGGCTCAAGTTGTTTGGGGAGCTGTGCAGGGAGCCCAATGTACTTGAGTAACTTTCTCTCTGAGATCAGAAGTAGTGTATTTTTTTTATTTATGTTTTTGCACAAGTCTAATTTTCATAAGAATTAGAATAACTCTAGCCCTCTTTTCACCCAACCCCACTACACCAACACTGCCTTGAAGCCACCTGTTAATTAAAACCTTGCATGGGAACAACATTATCTCTTAACAAACAATATTCCACTGTATCTGTTTTAATACGATGTGCTTAAATTAGAAAATGTAATACATAGTAATAAACATCTGCTACTTACCAGGTGAAGATAAGACACAGCAATGTGGATATTAAAATAAGAACTTGGTTAAACATTGCAGACTGTGTACGTTGAATGGCTCTATGGAGATCATTCTATATTAATAGAAAAAGCAGGTTGGTTATGTTTTTTTAAATAATGCATCTGCTGATCCTATACAATAGTTCCATGATATTTTGATAAGATACAATGGCCCAACCGCACTTAAAATTTGCTGAGCACAATGGGTGGTGCAAAGGAGTCAGTTGTTCCCTGATTTCCGTGACTGCGTCTTTGACTACCCTGGCATACTTTAGAGAATCCTGGAGTTTGCGCTAAATTTAATCAGCTGGCCCAAACGGTTCCGTATGCCAGGCAGGAGTAACTGGAGCATAGCAGCTCCTTAGACCCCTGGTGGAGAGACTACATGTGAGTGGCATACGAGTTAGCCATGCTGGGAACTTTCCTTGTTGGAAGTCAGTGATGTGCCAGTTTCCACCAACTGAGGAAACTATTGGAAACTATTTCCAAATTTGATACGAAATGGTGATACAGTAAAATGTGGAAGCATTTCCATGACTGAATAGTGAATGTGATTAATCCCATGATAAATTTGTCCAGTGCAGTTCCCTGACCAGAAAGCAACCGTCTTGCTGAAGTCAGCAGACTCAGAAATGGATATATTTTTTAAAACAGTTATTCTTTCCTCACTATTTTTGGTCATACTTACAATCATGTTCTCCAAAGCATGTTTGGCAAGCCAGCAATTTAAAAATACTGGAATAAATAGGTTTCTTAGTGCAGGCCAGAAAATCTGAGGAGGGGGAAATAAACACAAATACATCTTAACAGCTTTTCTGTCCAAGAAACTACATCCAATACAGTGTTTATAAAATTGTGTACTCCTGATGTAAAAACTGGTAACTATATTACTTTTTTCTGTATAATATATATGATAGGTAGTTTACAGTGTAGATAACATTTTTACTATGCAAGTTTTCTCTGCTTTTACATCTAACTGGTTTATCTTGCTCATTGCATTATTGGCTGTGTGACTTTTTTAAATATATTTTTTTTCAAGAAGAAAAACATAGTTTGCTAAATTAGCCTCTCCAACAGGGCCTGCTCATCGCTCATACAGGTCAATAGAGACTTCCACTCGCTTCAGTGTGTGTTGGAGCAGACCCATAATCCCACCCAGGAATGGACACCGACACTTAATTCAGATACTTACTGTAATGATAAAGGGGACAGCGTTGATTATTTCCAGGAGGAAGGGTATTCGCAAAACTTGTTCCCAGATGTTTCCCTTTTCAAAACAGCAAAAACATACCAAACTTCAGAAATAGACTTTCACTGAGTTGCACTGTACAGACCGTTCATCCCAAACAACGTGCAAATATGCAACAATCTGAAAAGACCAAGTGCCTAATCCTGTGGTCCTCACGTAGGCAAGGCTCCCATTGATGTCACTGGGAGTCTTGCCTGAGAGAGGACTGCAGGATTTGGCACTAGTGTTCCTACTGGTGGGTGGGTGGGGGGCAAACAATAGATTAGGTAAATGAGAGAACATGACAGCTTTCTGTTTATATATCGGGGAAATTAAAATAGGGGCCAGCAGCAGAGGAAAACTCCATGAGACTTTCCTCACAGAGCTATCTCCAGATCACTCTGTCAGGAGTCTGCTATCCCTGTGGAATAGGCAATGGTGTTTGGCCCAGTGATTCTTTCAGTATTGAAACTGTTGAACTGTGGATTAAACACTGGGCCAAAAGGAGCAAGAAAGTGTGTGAATAATTCTGTGGTCTAGTGATTTGAGTTCTCACCTGGGATGCAGGAGGCCCAGGATCCAGACCTCCTGCTCCAATGACTTTTTTAAAATTTATCCACAGTGGAACATCTTCAACAGGAGATACTAAGGGAGCCCTGAATAAGAATATCCCATAGCTCAGTGACTAAGGCAGTCACCTGAGAGGCAGCAGACTCCAGTTGAAATCCCTTTTCCCTCTTAGGTGGAGAGACAGCTTGGACTTGGGATCTCCCACATCCCAGATGAGTACACTCACTGCTGGGATAAAGGTTAAGAGGGAGGTACTCTTCCCCACCCCCTGTTTTGGGTAAGCTCACCTAGACGTGCCAAATCTAGCAGGCAAGGTCTGAACCTGTTCACCAGATTGGGCTCTGCAGCTGAGTTAGGCAGAGGAATACCTATCTTCCCCCAGTTTGTGCCTTGCTCTTCTAGGGCTTGGGTATCTGGACACCTAGCATGGGGCACCTAGTGTGTATGTTCAGAGGCAGAAGCAAAGGTGCCTTAGGGAACTTTTATGCCAAAAAATTAGGTGCAGGGTGATTTTAAGCACCTACAAGGTTTGGGGGTTGCTGAGCAGTATTTTGTGAATCCCAGTGGGTCCCGATTCTGGGATTTAGGCACCCAAGTCCTCTTGTGAATCCAGCTCCCAGTGACTCTTCACAAAGGTAAAGTTCATGAAGCTCATACTAGTTAATGTAATACTGCAGCATTTACATTGTGGAATAAATCATGTCAATATTGCAAGAATTTGAAGAGCAGTAGGATAAATTAAAAATATAGACATAAATGATCTGACATTTATATCAACAAATTAATTAATCAATCCTCATTATTATATCATCTGACTCAGTCACTGAATGCTAAATACAAGTTTTGTTGTGCAAAAAGGAAATCCTCTATTCTCCCACACACACACACACACCTTCATCTCCAGAAGCCACTGCTGCTATAGTGCCAGAATAATTTTATTTTGACAGATGAATGAGACTATAGTTGAATAGTTTTAAATGTTCTGCGTGGTAACTGTACACAGAAGTGATGGGAGGAGGAGGATTAAAGGCTGTGGTTGTATTTAACTGTGGGCACAATAAAAAAACTATAATGAATTAGAAATTAGAAATTCAAATTTAATTTAAACTCACTCACTATGTGTTCCTACTGAACAAATATCTTCGCTTATTTTACTTTCTAGGGGACTGCTCTTTATGCTTCCTAACAAAGGATGATCAGCTGCTACAGATTTCATTGTATTGGTAGTGTCCATCACAAGAGAGAAAAAAGGACACAAATGTAGCAAACACAAAGGAAGTTCTTTATTCAGGATTCTGGACATGCAGATCCTGCTGCTACCTGGTTCTCAATGTTGTAGATTGTTGGAACAAAGCTTGTGTCCTATCACACAGGATCTGTATTGGGTCTGGCAGACAGTGTTAAGGGGAGCTGATACTTAGAATCATAGAATATTAGGGTTGGAAGAGACGTCAGGAGGTCATCTAGTCCAATCCCCTGCTCAAAGCACGACCAACACCAACTAAATCATCCCAGCCAGGGCTTTGTCAAGCCAGGCCTTAAAAACCTTTACGGATGGAGATTCCACCACCTCCCTAGGTAATCCATTCCAATGCTTCACCACCCTCCTAGTGAAATAGTGTTTCCTAATATCCACCCTAGACCTCCCCCACTGCAACTTGAGACCATTGCTTCTTGTTCTGTCATCTACCACCACTGAGAACAGCCTAGCACCATCCTCTTTGGAACCCCCCTTCAGGTAGTTGAAGGCTGCTATTAAATCCCCCTCACTCTTCTCTTCTGCAGACTAAATAATCCTAGTTCCCTCAGCCTCTCCTCATAAATCATGTGCCACAGCCCCCTAATAATTTTCGTTGCTCTCCGCTGGACTCTCTCCAATTTGTCTACATCCCTTCTGTAGTGGGGGGACCAAAACTGGACGCAATACTCCAGGTGTGGCCTCACCAGTGCCGAATAGAGGGGAATAATCACTTCCCTCGATCTGCTGGCAATGCTCCTACTTATACAGCCCAAAATGCCATTAGACTTCTTGGCAACAAGGGCACGCTGCTGACTCATATACAGCTACTTGTCCACTGTAATCCCCAGATCCTTTTCTGCAGAACTGTTGCTTAGCCAGTCAGTCCCCAGCGGTTCATGGGATTCTTCCTTCTTAAGTGCAGGACTCTGCACTTGTCCTTGTTGAATCTCATCAGATTTCTTTTGGCCCAATCCTCCAATTTGTCTAGGTCACTCTGGACCCTATCCCTATCCTCCAGCATATCTACCTCTCCGCCCCCCCCCCATCCCCAGTTTAGTGTCATCTGCAAACTTGCTGAGGGTGCAATTAATCCCATCATCCAGATCATTAATAAAAATGTTGAACAAAACCAGCCTCAGGACCGACCCCTGGGGCACTCTGCTTGATACCGGCTGCCAACTAGACATCGAGCTGTTGATCACTACCCATTGAGCACGACAATCTAGCCAGCTTTCTATCCACCTTATACTTGTATTATTGTGTGAGATCTGCAAAGTTAACAGATCAAGTAGGACGGTTAGTCTCCATGCAGATCTCTGATATAAAAATAATCACTTCAGTAAATGTACAACTTCTCATTATCAGATCCTATGGGACTGATTCTCCACTGACCTGTACCATGTGGAACTCATTGCCAGGGGATGTTGTGAGGGCCAGAACTATTACTGGTTCAAAAAAGAATTGAATAAGTTGATAGAGGATAGATCCATTAATAGCTATTAGCCAAGATAGTCAGGGATGCAGCCCCATGCTCTGGGTGCCCCTAATCCTCTGACTGCCAAAAGTGGACAACAGGATGGATCAATTGATGATTGCCCTGGTCTGTTCATTTCCTCTGAAGCATCTGGCATTTGACTGTTGTTGGAAGAAAGGATACTGGGCCAAATGAATTGTTGGTCTGACTCAATATGGCCATTCTTACATATAATAATTTACTATATGTGTGAAGTGGATATAAATTGCTACCAAAACAGGATGGCAGAGTTTTATACCCACTTTCCAGAGAGATAAAGAACTACTTTAGGGAACTGATAAATCATTACTTTTGTGTACTCATTTAAACTGGTGCAAAGTGGGTGTAGGGATAAAATGCTAGATAAAATAGTTGTGTTTATATAAAATTTGCACAGGTGTAAACTACGCAAGTTCAAGGCCCTAGAACAGGGGTCGGCAACGTTCGGCATGCTGCTCGCCAGGGTAAGCACCCTAGCGGGCTGGGCCAGTTTATTTACCTGCTGACGCGGCAGGTTCGGCCGATCGCAGCCCCCACTGGCCGTGGTTCGCCGTCCCGGGCCAGTGGGGGCGGCGGGAAGCAGCGCAGGCCGAGGGATGTGCTGGCCGCGGCTTCCTGCCGCCCCCATTAGCCCGGGACGGCGAACCGCGGCCAGTGGGGGCCGCGATCGGCCGAACCTGCCGCGTCAGCAGGTAAATAAACTGGCCCAGCCCGCTAGGGTGCTTACCCTGGCGAGCCGTGTGCCGAACGTTGCCGACCCCTGCCCTAGAAAATCTGGTCCAATAACTTAAGAATGAAAAGTGGCACTGCTTTATAAATGGTATGTTGGCATCAGTTGTTTTTCACTGTGCTATTTTTTCCACCAAGAGACTTATATTTGTAATGGACAACACCTAATCTATATAAACAGTATTAGCTGCTTTTTATCAGGTATAATTTAGTAGCCAGTTTGAAGCTTATTAAAAATGTTATACTCTGAAAAACATTTCTGCCAATCATCACTTGATAAGTATAATAAAGAATTACTCTGTGACTCTGATGGATTGACTAGTTATTAAATACCATTGACTCATAGATTAAAAGCACAAAATGCTCTCATTTCACAAAATTATATATTTAAACTTTTAAAATAAAGCCTTTTCTTATTTTGTTTGGTGAAATGTATTTTACTGTTTTATCCTAATAGCTCAAAATGCAGACTTTTTATAATTCACTGTAATAGCATATAATAAAAATTAAAGGGCAAATTATGTGAAGAAATTCTAACCAAAACATTAGAAAAATATAACTAAAGAGAACTTGACATTTTAAGGAAAAAACAAAGACAAATGTATAATATTTTGTACTTGCATTCATCAGCAGATCTCAAAGCCTTTTTCAAAGTTCCCTAGTTTTGAGTTGGAATAGCTGAGGTGCAGATGGATATGGTCCCATATTTTCAAAATTGCCCTCTATTTGTGTGTGCCTCGATTCCTGTGTGCCCAATTTCAGATGACCAAACCTTGATTTTTTTTTTAAGTTTTCCAGAAATATTGTGCAGCAACAACTTGAGAGCTGATGTCAGAGAGAGCTGTGGGTACTCCACATATTGAAAAATAAGACCACAGAGACACAACTATACCAAAAAAAAAAAAAAAAAAAAAAAAAAAAAAAAAAAAAAAAAAAAAAAAGCCACCTTTGAAAAATTATCCCTAACCAACACAGAGAGGCAGTGGAAGAATTAGAAGTGAAACTCAAGATTTCTGACTTCCAGTCCCCTGCTCTGATTATTATGATACCTAATACATTTGAGAAACAAGAAAAGGCTGTTTGAGACAATATGCCATCCTCTACAGATTGATCAGACTTTCTGCTTTTGCATTATACCATTTAAGCCCAGAGACAAATGTAGGCCTCTCTTACCTTTACATTTACTTTCTTCAATTGCCTCTTGCAATAATTTTAGTCACAGATTTTCAAAGGTATTTAGGCATTGCTCCGTTCAGTATTGCTTGGCCGAAGGAGCAGATTTTCAAAAGGTATTTAGATAATTAAACAAAGATGCCTAGTGGGATTTTCAATAGTACCAAAGGCCGAGGTCTACGAAGGTATTTAAGCTCCTAACTTCTTTGACATAAATGGAAGTCAGGAGCCTAAATGCCTTTGTGGATCTGGGCCAAGGTGCCTATTTACAGCCTTTCATCCCAAAGGGTCCCTAAGCACTTTGGACGTTCGTAAATCATAGAATCGTAGGACTGGAAAGGACCTAGAGAGGTCCTCTAATCTAGTCTCCTGCACTCATGGTAGGACTAAATATTATCTAGACCATCCCTGACCGTGTTTATCTAACCTGCTTTTAAAAATCTCCAATGATGGAGATTCCACAACCTCCCTGGGCAACTTATTCCAGTGCTTAAGCACCCTGCAAATTAGGGAGTTTTTCCTAATGTCCAACCTAAACTGCCCTTGTTGCAATTTAAGTCCATTGCTTCTTGTCCTATCCTCAGAGGCTATGGAGAATAACTTTTCTCCCTCCTCCTTGTAATAACATTTATCACTTCACCCACTAATGAAATGCAGTCACAGCTGGAATGGAAGGTTTTTTTGTTTGTTTTTACTGTTAACTGCAAGCCTGTCCAATGGCTTAGGGCAGGAAGTAAAGAAGAATGCACTATCCAAATGAAAGGATGTGAACATTTAAATTAGCAGAGTGCAATTGTCCAAATTAGAATGTAACACCTAACACTCCCATTCTTCTGAAAAGTGCTGTTTGATTTGCAATGAAGTAAAAGCAGTCAAGACCATGGTTTTCATTTTCAACAACACAGTGCTCCTTTCCAACAACACAATGCTTCCTAGTGCCACTCCAGCATCAGAGGGAATTGCTGAATCATCACCATTTCCTGAATGACCTTGGCACCTGTTGGGAGATGTAGATAGCGCATCTTCAGAAAAAAGATGACATGAATTTGTCCCCAGATTGTTGGCCTATATTGGCAAATCTATATTCCATTCATTACAAATCTATACAATGCTACTTGTCAGGTCCTCAGCTGGTGTAAATTGAACTAGCGTCACTAAATTTGACAGAGGGGGGCCGACTTACATTAGCTGAGCATCTGGATGCCTATTTCTTCCTTCACCTTTTTGGTATCATGATACTAATAGCTCAGTCCTCTTCAGCTTTTCGTAAGTAAACATTGGGCTGATTAAAATCCCACTGAAGTCAATGAAAAGACTGCCATTGACTTCATGGGCTTTGATTCAGGCCCATTGTAAACTTCATAAATCATGAATGAGTCATGCACTTCAGTGTAATTATAAGTAACATTTTTCTTGACCAATTAGTCACAAGTAATTTAAGATGATCATTTTTATCTTTCCGTCAACCTGTAAGTAGTAAACTGACTTACAAAGGGATCTCATCTCTGGTCAATGAGGATATGTAAACTCCCCTTAGCATTAAGAGAAATCTATCAAATGGAGAATTGATTCAAAAGAATAAAACCAATTGGCCTTACCTTGTAGCTCAGATAACCCAGCAGCATTGTTTCAAACAGACTTATCAAAGCCACTGAAACCTAACATGATATATAAATATATATGTTAATGCAGAGTTAGTAATGTAATTAATTAAAGCAAAAATTACCTGAAGAATTAAACTGAAAGATTAAAAATAATCAAAACTAGTTGATCTGTGGTGAAGAAATCCTCTCAAAGCATCTTTAACCACTAAAGCTTGGTTCTAATCCTAAAATTCCTTACCACAGTATGTGCTGAATAAAGCCCTGTTCCTGTCAAACGATTCATTAGTATTTACCCCCTGCACTTGTCTTAAGTCCTATTGTCTGCTAGGCGCTGCCCTCAAAATCTCCTCCATGAATATTGTTTCAGAAGGTCTCCAGAATGTTCTCTCCATGGGTTTTTAGGGAAGGCCAAATAAAAGCAGCCAGTTTCTGTGCCATGCTGCAACTGGCAGGCTTTTGGCAGCTTCCAGGACTTGTTCCATTTTGAGATGACAGAGTATAAGGAATGTGTTTAAAAAATAAGACAAATGGTGGGAGGAAGTCATGACCTTTTTCAAACATTACACTGAAGTGTTATTTTTTTTAGTGTGTGTGGGTCATAAATATTACCCCCCAAAAAGTCTTAAAACACAGCAAAAGAGAGATGGTAAATTTCATTGTTTAAATCAGTGTGTGTTGAATTAATGGACATATAAAAGGTCAGTGACCTGTCTTAAACTACTAAAATCTATTTGGTTTACACATTGCATATATACTCCACAATGTCTTTTAAAACTAATCACAAAACCAGCTTAAATGTGTGCATATATTAAATTAAAACATTTACTATTTATACATTTGTATTACTTAATCTGGAGTCTGGAATCAAATTAGTCTCTATTCCTAATTTAAAATTAATGCTCACTACTAATGAAAGCTTAACATCCTGTACTACTTGCACTTGAAATTACATTATGAAGATTCAAAATAGATGGTGTGAATTTGAAAATATATTAAAAAAAAATCACCAAAACATTTCACTCTTACAGTAGTTAGCATTGCTCCAGATAAAGTGAAGTTTTTGTCTTGCATAAAAGTGGAATTTAGTTTGTTGTTTCTATATAACATTATATATCTATATATATATATACATATCTCCTCCTATTTTGTGTTTGTGTATCTATCTTCCTGTGTTCATTGACTAGCATAGGTTTACAGTGTAAGAATAAGCCTAAAACCAGCACCATAAACTATTAAGGCTATGTCTCAATATAAGTAATCTATATGTCTGTCAAACTTTATTTGCTCAGACCTTGCATATTTTAAACAAATATTCAAAAGTTATCTCCATCAGAGAAATGTTGCTTTAATAAACAACTGTATTACACAGAGATAGAATTCACCATAACGGGTTTGTACTGAGGGTAGTGCAAAAATATAATAGCATAATTATACTAGATGGTTCAGGAATCCTTAATACAAAAATTAATTATTTAGGGAGAACTCCCACAACTATCTTCAAAATTTTGCTCTTAACTTAATGCGAAGCAATAGCTTATTTTCAGAAACCATGTAAAGTTTAATAACTGTGGGCCCGATTCATATGTGCTGAGCACCTGAAATCTCATAACTTCTTTATTTATTTTAGATTAGGAACCATAAAGGCACCTACTTAAAAGACAAGCCATATAACAGACAAGAGCCAGCAGCAATCCCACATAATACAACTAAATAAACTATATAATAGTGCCACTTAGATTTAAAAGAGAAAAAAAAAGGAAACTTGAAATGATATTTCTTAAACAATATCTCCCTCCTCTTGAAGTGTGCCCAGAAGGCTAACAAATCCAGACTATTTTGGACCAGGATGGCGATCATCTGCCAAAGCCAAGAGAGGACCCCTCACAGAGAATGCCCCAGTAGCAATCCATTATTCTTTACTGAGGGGAAGGATGATCAAATTTGAGTGCCGCCATTGATCTCTCCTGCAGCAGTGAGGAAAGGCAATCTCTCAGACAGGCAGGTCTCATACCACTTAGGGCTTTGTGAGTGAAAACCAACAGCTTAAATTGCATTTGGAAACCCACAGGCAGCCAGTGCAGATAACAAAACACTGGTGTAATGTACTCATAGCAAGATTCTCCACTTACTGTGTGGACTGCCATATTCTGCACTAGCTTTGGCTTCCTTGTGGATTTAAGGTATAATCCCAAATAGAACCCATTACAATAGCTTAATCTTCAGGTAAAGAAGTGGAAACTCAGGCTATGTCTACAGTAGAGAGCTTACAGTGGCACAGCTGTCACGATGCAGCTACACCGCTGTAAGATCTCTCGTAGCTGCTCGGTGCCGTCAGCTCTCCCATCAGCCTAATTAAGCCACCCCCAATGAGCGGCAGTACCTAGCACTGTGCACGCTCCCACTTATGCTGGTGTGATTTCTGTCACCTGGTGGTGGAATATTCACATTCCTGAGTGAGATAAGTTTTGCTGACATAAGTGGTAGTGTAGACATGGCCTTAATAAACTCAACCCTGGTCTACACTACCAACTTATATCAGTATAACTGCGTCGCTCGGGTGTGAAAAATCCACAACCCTAAGCAACGGAATTATACCGACCTAACTCCTGGTGTAGATTGCGCTATGTCGATGAAAGGGCTAGACAAGCTCTTAGTAAAGGCTGCAAGATTGGGTCCAATAGACTTTATTTAGTTCTAAGGAAAAATACTTACAGAATATTAAAACTTTCTTATTTTCTCTTGACCTACAATACTTTACTATAAATACACGTATTCCAGAGTAGTGTAACATTTAACATAGTTTGCTTTCTTCATTCACTTTAATTTTAGATTTATCACTATAGTGGGCTTCCAAGGAAGTACAATTTTGTTTGCTACCCTTTCTATATGTGTATTAGCTTCTCGGAAGTATTAAAAATCCAAGTGTGCTACGGCTATAAAAATGTAATTGCTAAAAATATCCTAATTATACATTACCTGTAATCCCCATAAAGGCAAGCTTCTGTTCACCCAAATAATAGGAGACCTGTTGAATCACAATGACACAATAAATGTGACACCCATCAAATGGTGCATATGGGTCTGATCTAAAGCCCAGCAAAGTCAAGGGATTGATATCCATTAACTTCAATGGGCTTTGCATCAGCTGCTATTTTTAACATAATTAAATATAAAAGCCAGATGATCAGTATTTGGAGTGGTGTAAAATAGTTAATCACTTCCCCATATTTTTATATGGGTAACTAGTCACTCAGCATTGACAATCCAATTGTCTTTCTAACCTAGAAGCAAATAATATGATGTATGCATTTTAAAGAGGCAAGGGGAAACTGTCCTTCATTTGGAACCATTAATTTGTGGTAGAAAAAACAAATCTAATCACATTCTTTGCCAGTATTTTCTCTTTTGCTCTCTGTTATGTACAGATGCATAGTTTTATTAACTAGTATCCACATTAGTGAGCATTTATTTGCACTGGTTCTAAAACTGGAAATATTTCCTCTTAGTTGTAAAACCCCATTATTTATGAATTTTTCCTAAGAAACTATTTTTGTCTTGGTGAAATTCATCTCCTTCATTAAGTACTTACCATTTCAACAAAACAAAATGCATTCTTGATACAGTACCAGTGAAACTAGGCACACAGTACTGTTGGTCACTGTACTACTCTAGACTATATAATAATCATATATTTTCTATCTCAGTAAGGAAATAAATGTCTAGAATCCAAACGGTCCCGATCATCTGGAAGTCATGACTTCTGCATCTAACATGGTGGTATTCACTTGTCCAGATATAGGCAATTAATCACAATACTGAACCCATCTTTGGGACTCCGAAGACATGGTATTTGAGATGACTTGTTCCACAGTTCTGGAGCCTTAAAATCCCACCAATCCTGCAGGAAGGGTGTGTTTCTTTGCCAGGAACTCAGAGTTACTGAGTGGAATTAATTCTGTAGGGCAAGAAATCCTCTGAAGGAATTTTATGGCTCCATCAACATAGGTCAAATGTGTCCAGAAAGGCTGTAGGATTCAGAGAGTTTAGCTACTATGGACTGTTTTATCCCTCATTGATACACATAACTTTAACTTTCTGCATATGCATTAAAGAAATCACATTATATGTGTATTTGAACCCAAAATAGATCACTATTATGTGTTAAAAAAAAAAATTCTGGAACTCACCAATCAATCTTTGCAGGTGTGTAGTTTTGACTGGAACAGCCCCTGTTTAATTCCTTGCTGCCAGAAGTCAACAAATCCATACATAAAGCCCATGTCCAGATGTATATGGAAACACAATTATAAAATGATGGGGGGGGGGAATGGGCAGGGGTTAATTTTTTAGGTAACACTGTTCTATATAATTCGTCAAACACTGTGCAGACTAATTAAGTTGTGACAGTCACTGAGAGATAGATATTCAAAAGAAGGCAAATCACTTTGACCAACTAGTTCAGTGTGTATTTTAGATACATACATTCTCAAAGCTAAAGGCCAGACACATTTTTTGTGTTTGTTTTAAGAAGATTTAGTTTCAAATGTGATCTAATATAAAAATCAAAAGAGATGAACAAAAAAATGGGGTTCTTGCAAAGGATGAAGCATGAAGGAAGTGCTGAAAATACCAGTAATTCTATCAAGCAGACCTAGGAAGCATTGGCAGGTATAATTTCCACAATCTCTGAAGTAAAGATTGCACCAAACTACAGTTCCCATCTTCAAGTAGGGATATCTTTAATCTCTGGTTATTTCAGTGAGAGACTAGTGGCATATGTGTAGAAAAAACAGCTAATATGTATATTTGTGTTCCTCTCTTGTATTCATAGAGCAAGCCATCCCCTCCAACACAACTACATGCATAGGGGAAGTAAATATTTCCTTAACTTTTAAACTGTGGAAAATAGAACTCTCTGCCCCCTTCATGCAGGTTCAGGAGGGGCTGGAGTGATTTGTGGACCAGACATAAGGAGTGGGCATGTTTCTCCATCTGTGAGGGTGAGGAGGATCCTCAGATAAATCCAGGGGTCTTATGACATCCACATGGAAGGCCTGTCTATCCATGTTGCCATTGACTCCCTGCTCATGCCTTTGTCTTCTCAGTGGCTGATGGGGGGTGGGGGAAGCTGCTGATCAAAAGTAAATTCAGAAATAAGCAATATTTTTCTCCCACGGGGATTTCTGAAGGAAATGTCATGGATTTGCTGGGTGGCAAGACCACAGAGACCTGTTTCCCAGGCTGTGTTCCTTCTACTGCCATCGGGTGGTGGTAGTTTCTTTTGGCTCCATTACCTCCCTTCCCTGTTTACCAAGCGGTTTTGTCCAGTAATTCTGTTGGTTTGATCCCTTAGAAGGCCCAAAGTTTTTTCTCAGGGCTTGTCCAGCACCCAAAAAAAATCTCTCAAGCCCAGTAGTTAGTAACCAAGATATTTTGGTTTATTCATTTAAAAAAATGTATCCTATATCTTACACTAGCATCTGTAAAATTCCTAGGAGGAAGGAAGCCAGATGGGTGGTAGACTCAAGTAAGTTAAATAGTGTGTTGAAATATATTTAGCAAAACATAATGTAATGTTTTATGTAATGTAAAATAAAGTAATAGCAAAAATAAAATAAAAAATTAAGTACATCGGAAGCAGGAAGCCTGCTAAACCAGTGGGGCCACTGGACGATCGAGATGCTAAAGGAGCACTCAAGGACGATAAGGCCCTTGCGGACAAACTAAATGAATTCTTTGCATCGGTCTTCATGGCTGAGGATGTGAGGGAGATTCCCAAACCTGGGCCATTCTTTTTAGGTGACAAATCTGAAGAATTGTCCCAGATTGAGGTGTCATTAGAGGTGGTTCTGGAACAAATTGATGAACTAAACAGTAATAAATCACCAGGACCAGATGGTATTCAGGAACTCAAACGTGAAATTGTAGAACTGCTAATTGTAGTCTGTAACCTATCATTTAAATCAGATTCTGTACCAGATGACTGGAGGATAGCTAATGTGACGCCAATTTTTAAAAAGGGCTCCAGAGCTGATCCCGGCAATTACAAGCCTGTAAGCCTGACTTCAGTACCAAGCAAACTGGTTAAAACTATACTAAAGAACAAAATTGTCAGACCCATAGATAAACATAATTTTGGGGCGGAGAGGAAGAATCAACATAGTTTTTGTAAAGGGAAATCATGCCTCAGCAAGGGGTCAACAAGCATGTGAGCAAGGAGGATCCAGTGGATATAGTGCACTTAGATTTTCAGAAAGCCTTTGGCTCATAAGGAAGGTAAGCTGTCATGGGATAAGAGGGAAGGTCTTATGAAGAGCTACAAAAGGTTAGAGTGGTAGCCATGTTAGTCTGTATCAGCAAAAACAATGAGGAGTCCTTGTGCCACCTTAGAGACTAACAAATTTATTTGGGCATAAGCTTTCGTGGGCTAAAACCCCTTCATCAGATGCATGGAGTGGAAAATACAGTAGAGTATAAATACACAGCATATGAAAAGCTACAAAAGGATCTCTCAAAACTGGGTGACTGGGCAACAAAATGGCAGATGAAATTCAATGTTGATAAATGCAAAGTAATGCACATTAGAAAACATAATCCCAACTATACATATAAAATAATGGGGTCTAAATTAGCTGTTACCACTCAAGAAAGAGATCTTGGAGTTATTGTGGATAGTTCTCTGAAAACAACCACTCAATGTGCAGCAGCAGTCAAAAAAGCGAACAGAATGTTGGGAATCATTAAGAAAGGGATAGATAATAAGACAGAAAATATCATATTGTCTCTATATAAATCCATGGTATGCCCATGTCTTGAATACTGCATGGAGATGTGGTCGCCCCATCTCAAAAAAAGATATATTGGAATTGGAAAACGTTCAGAAAAGGGCAACAAAAATGATTAGGGGTAAGGAATGGCTTCTATATGAGGAGAGATTAATAAGACTGGGACTTTTCAGCTTTGAAAAGAGATGACTAGGGGAGATATGATAGAGGTCTATTAAATCATGACTGGTGTGGAGAAAGTAAATAAGGAAGTGTTATTTACTCCTTCTCATAACACAAGAACCAAATGAAATTAATAGGCAGCAGGTTTATAACAAACAAAAGGAAGTATTTTTTTTCTCACAACGCACAGTCAACCTGTGGAACTCTTTGCCAGAGGATGTTGATAGGGCCAAGACTATAACAGGGTTCAAAAAGAACTAGATAAATTCATGGAGGATAGATCCATCAATGGCTATTAGCCAGGATGGGCAGGGATGGTGTCCCTAGCCCTTGTTTGCCAGAAGCTGGGAATGGGCAACAGGGAATGGATCACTTGATGATTAACTGTTCTGATCATTCCCTCTGAGGCACCTGGCATTGGCCACTGTTGGAAGACAGGATACTGGGCTAGATGGACCTTTGATCTGACCCCAGTATGGCCGTTCTTATGTTCTAATGTGACAACACAGAATGAAGGGACATGCATTCCCCGGCTAGTTAATTATTAGATATTTAGAATCAAAGAATAAGTAGTTTGGGCAAGGCCTAGAGAATTATATATTGCTCTATGTGAGTATAGCAGTATCTAAGTGTACTTTCAAGCAATGAATACTGGGGTGATTACTGCCTACCTCATCTTTTAAAATGTAGCACATATCCAAAAGTAAGATGCTTGCATATGCTTTACAGTATACTCATTTAGCCTCATTACACTCATTTAGCATCACTAATTCATTAGGTTTCATACAAAAATATCAGCAGCTTAATCATACCAGAAGCTATCAGTAATTTTTAAAACATCTGTTCCTTTTTCTTGCTTTTGTTTCCCTTTTACTAGAAAATTGCATTAATTGAACCTACACTCTGGGTCTAGAAAGCAGAAATGTTTGGGCTTCATGTTATACCATATTGTTGTAAGAATGGGCACCAGATAGAAAAATTATTCAAATATCTTTGTTTTACTTTTAAAAAGGCACCTGGTGCTGCTTTTCTAACTACATTCATTTGTATTTTTTAACTTATTGGAAAGGACGTACATTGTTTTCCAACAGTAATATGCCTAATGCATGTATGTAAATAAAATATGTTTGGTTTATAACTTGAGAAAGATTTAGAAATTATTGTTTCCCCATCCATATTTCTCATTTTCATGCATCTCCCTGTTTTTACATTACACGTTGTTCTTAACTCCTAAAGTTGTGCTGTTCCCCATTGAGGAATGGGATTTAAGAGAATAACTCAACTATAAAAAATAATAGTTGCACTGTAATTAGGTTTTAGGAAGTTTTTGTACTCAAACTACTTAAATTTAACAGCTTGAAGGATCTCATGGATCGTGCCCCAAGAGAGCACTTTCTACGTTTGAGAACACATATAAATTTACCCAAATTATTCACATCATGAAATAAACTGCATGTATAAATGACAGAGTGAAATATACAGTACGTTTCTACGCTGTTCCACAGTGGGCATGCTGGAGCAAGAAAAATCAGTAGAGAGCTCATGATATAGATTGCTGCCTCCACCCTAGAAAGCCACCAGGATCTTTGGAGTCTTTCACTAATACGTCCCCATCTCATTGACTGGTTTTTATTACTCTGACAGCCTATAGCTATGCAGTAGAGATGGGCAGGGTAGAAGAGAGGCACACTCATCCCTTATCTCTGGATAGCAACAAGGAAGTAAGATAGGTAGATCTCCTGGATAGTCAGGAAAAGAAAGGATTGAAGGGGGATTGTTTCTATTACAACAGTAATAGACAAAACTTATTGCAGTAAGAAATAGGCAATAGTTAAAACAATCTGTCTGTAAAGAATTAAAATCAAATAACAATATAGCCATTACCAGAACTAAAAGAGCATTAACCGTGACTGGTTAGAGTGGCAGTTGGAGACTCTTTGGCTCTCACGAAGCAAACACTTACATTTGTAGGTAACTTTACTTATGGTAGTGGTCAATGGTACTACACACATTCATGTAGCTAAACACATTCTTGAGTTTTTGCAGGACTGTCACCTTAGACCAGGGGTTTCAAACTCAAATGACCACGAGGGCCGCATGAGGACTAGTGCATTGGCCCGAGGGCTGCATCACTGACACCCACCCCTTGCTGCCCTTGGCCCCGCCCCCACTCCACCCCTTCCATGAGGTCCCGCCTCTTCCTGCCCCTTCCCTGCCCCCATTCCAACCCCTTCCCTGAAGTCCTCACCCCAACTCTGCCCCCTCCCTGCCCCCAGGGGGGGCAGGAGAGGTGCAGGGTGTGATGGGGGCTCAGGGCAGGGAATTGGGGTATGGGGTGCAGGAGGGGCGAGGGGTGTGGCAGGGGGTTGGGGTGCAGGGTGCGGCAGGGGGCTCAGGGCAGGGAGTTGGGGTGTGGGGTGCTGGAGGGGTGAGGGGTGCAGCAGGGGGTTGGGGTGCAGCGTGTGGCAGGGGACTCAGGGCAGGGAGTTGGGGTGTGGGAGGGTGTGGGATGTGGCAGGGGGCTCCAGACAGGGGGTTGGGTTGCGGGCTCTGGCCCGGTGCCGCTTACCTAGAGCGGCTCTGGGGTGGCAGCACCGCGCACCGTGGCCAGGGCAGGCTCCCTGCCTGCCTGCCCTAGCCCCTGGCCCTGGCCCTGGCCCTGGCCTCGCTCCACTCTGCTCCACTCCAGGAAGCAGCCGAAGCCCTGGGGGAGGCGGGTGGAACGGCACCATGTGCTGCCCTTGCTCCTCCAGGTACCTCCCCCAAAGCTCCCATTGCCCGCGGTTCCCCGTTCCTGGCCAATGGGAGCTGCAGAGGGCTGTGCCTGGAAGCGAGAGCACGGAGCCCTCTACTTCACCTCCCTGCCCCCGCCCGGGGCTGCACGGACATAGTTCCAGCCGCTTCAGGGAGCGGTGTGGGGCTCGCGGCGCCACGGGGTAGACAGAGGGGCGGGGGGACGCGCGGGCCACACGAAAGAACCCTGAGCCGCATGTTTGAGACCCCTGCCTTAGACTGTGGTGTAACTTGCAATTTTCTAATGGCAAGTCAGCACTACATCGGTGCAGTTGCACCACTGTAGCACGTCTGGTGAAGACGCATTATGTCGGCAGGAGAGCGTCTCCCGCTGACATAGCGCCAGTGTGGACAGCACTTAGGTCACTGTAACTTGTGTCGCTCTGCCGGGGGGTGTCTTTTTCGCACCTCTGACCGACATATGGTACATTCACTTAAGCAGTAGTGTAGACCAGCCCTAAGTTTCTGCATAAATTGCAAGTGTTGTAACTAACAAAGAATAGTGATGTTTGAATTGTAATTGAGCTCATGTTGATTCTAATGTGACCCATAGCTATGCTTGCACACTAACTCTATTAGATCTGGAATTGTAAGATACAGATTCTAGTTTACATCTCATCATTTCTTTCTGCTTTAATTTTTCCAGTATTTTCTGCTTTTCTTTTTATAAAACATTCCAGTATTAGAACTTTTAAAAATGTTCACTGTTGACCTAATAGGGACCAATTCTACTGCCATTAAGTGAATAATAAAACTGACTTCATTTAGTGTAGAATATGGCCTATAGGCTACAGCTCACAAATTTTCTGCTTAGCATTTAGTCTGATGAATTAGAGGGAAAGTCATGGAAACTGGATTAGGAAGTGTGGAAGGATTGAGCAGCAGTTTTTCCCTCTATGAGGATCCTGTGCAGTTGGGGATTCATGTAATGGGAATGGAGCTAGAGATGAGCTATGAAACACAGTATGTTGTTGTTGCCCCACCCCTAACCTGTCAGGTTTTCAGTGTAAATCCATGTAGGAGTCGATGCTGCTTCTGAATGCCTGTCGCCAGCTCTCTGCACCATGGCTGCAGTTATTGGGACACAGGTACTAGGTGCAGGGCTGATCAAAAACTTCTATCAACTTTTTTTTAAAGGAAAACTGGATTTTCAGCTAAATGCACACTTTCTGCAAAAGTGTCTGCTTTTCTAAGATATTCATCGGGAAATTGAAATTCAAGAATGTGGCCAAAATATTCGTTTGGTGTTTTTCAGCAAAAAGTTAGTTTTCTACAGAGGAAAAATCCCAATTTCCACCAGCTCCAAGTGGAAGGTAGGGAAGAAAGCTAGGAATGTCAGGGCTGCTGGGGAACTGAGCTAGTAGGGTGAAGAGTCCAGAGAGCTGGTTCCCTGTGCTATTGCTCCAGAACCCATGGGTGTTTTCTCCATAGAAGACACCTCCTCATCAATTATTGTGAGTGGACCACATCCACCCTGATTGAATTGGCCCTGTCAACACTGGTTCTCTACTTGTAAGGTAACTCCCTTCTCGTCATGTGTCAGTATATTTATGCCTGCATCTGTAATTTTCACTCCATACGTCTGAAGAAGTGGGTTTTTTACCCACAAAAGCTTATTGCCAAATAAATGTTAGTCTTTAAGGTGCCACCGGACTCCTCGTTGTTTTTGTGGATACAGACTAGCACGGCTACCCCCTGATACTTGAGGCCCTAAGTTGTGCAGCAACATCAGAGTGCTGCTGCAGTGTGCGTGCAATCATTCAGCTATCGCTATGGTTCATAAACTGGAGAAGGGGAGCCAAGGAGAAAGAAACAACTGTTTTACATGCAGTAGGATTACGTTGCCAGGAGTGGGGCTTCACGCCTCAATATCTTTAAAGTGCTGCTCCTGGGACAGGCTCCTGCTACAAATAGCTCCACAGCCCCACTCTATTACTGCACAGCTTAGACTGTCTGCATGGTGGATACCTCCTCTTGCAAGTCACTCCCTGCTCTTTCAAAGGCAGGGGCTTCAGGTTCTCCGCCCATCTTCCCAGTGCATGCTCCCTGCTTCCTCACCTGCCAATCATCCTCCCACTATGCACCTAAAATGATGGATATGGTTAGAGATGACAATTTCCTGCAATGTCCTAGACAAACCTTACCGTATAACGTTAAACCAAGGTGTACTGAATTAAGTTTAAATATTTTAGTAATTCATTGTATTAAAAATGCAAATATTTACATATTATTGTGTAATATCTCTGTAGGGAGACATAGCTAGCATAAACCCTGGGAAGTGTTATGACCTTCAAAAGACTTTTGAAATTATGTGCCAGGCAAGAATGAACACTTAAAGTTGAGTGAGTTTCCCATGAAATCTCTAGGGAAGGGGTATACAAATATACTCCCTCCACTTATGCAAGAACTCAGCCTTTTCAACCTTCGCCTTGAGAAGGGGACTTTTGTCTGCTGATCAGCTGTTACAAGAGGACAAGACCAGAGGCGCAAATTGTATAAAAGAGTGACTCCTAGATTCATAGTGTTGCTTGTCCTGAGCCAAGGCCGTTATGAAGTTGTAACCACAGGAAAAACTCCTGTGTAGGGTTTGAAGGACTGACTCCTACCATAGCCCTTGCTGGAGTTAGGGTGATCTCTGGTAAGCTTACTAGCATGTGTGGGTTCTTTTATTGTTTTAATGTTTTCTCTGTTATGCTTTCCTATTAAAAATAAGAATCAGCTTAGGAAAAGCTGTGTGGTAACTTATAATTGTGGGCAACTATGTTGCTTAAAACCTTTAAAGAGAAAGCAAAGCAGGTCTACTTAGATGTCTGACTTGCTGGGGAACTCTCAGGGTAGGCAGGGAATTGTGCAGCCTGAAGAAACCCTGGCCAGGAGGGGGAGAGAGATGCACATCTCAATCCAAGAAAGGTGCAGGCTGAGGAGCCAGAAGTCTGAGAGTGGGTACCCTTGGTGGACCATAATAAGGGAATAGAGGTGCAGTTGTCCTGACCTGTGGCAGGGTGTACAAGTAGAGGAGTTGGAATATGGCAATGATTTATTCATTGTGTCATATACATTATAAATCAATCTGAAATGTTATTCAGTAACTTGGCAAAAAGATATGGGCAGTGGCACAGCTACATCATTCCACAGAGACTATTACACAATATGAACAAATATACAGTAAGCACTTTCAGTAATAAGGAGCAAAATGCTTTTGATTGAAAGAAAATCATATTACATTTTCATTGGATACTTTATCATATTCACTCAGAAAGACTGGATTAGTTTTGCAATTCATGCTGCACCACAACCATCTATAAACTCTAAAACTAAATCCCTGTTGACAGAACATCAAATATTTATAAGCATCAAGAACGATTGATCCGTTTCATGCAATATAAGTAGTACTTTGAGAGGGCAAATAAAAAAGAAAATCTTACCATCCATGTCCTTGTGTAGGATCATCCAGGAGCACTCGAATTATATATAACAAACAGCTTAATAACTTGAGAGAAAAATTGAACAATCGTATTCTGAGACCTGTTTGATAAAAGGAAAGAAAATACAAATTCAGTTTCTTCAGATTTTAATTCATGTTTAATGTAAAACTACTTAAAAGGAACAAGATATGCCTTCAACTCAAGTCAGAGAACTTGTGATGACAAGTATTCAAATATTAATATTTGGAAGTTTTTATGGAATAGCTTTGTGTAGGGAATGTATGATTATTGCCCAAATGTATAAAATATTAAACTATATTAAAGTATTGATAAAGTGGCACAAAAGTCAGAAAATGTAAAAACTAATACCTGGGACAACTTTAACTCTACTCCTTTGTGTGTGTACACTGAACTGTACTGCATACAAGGTCTAAAATAATGCAACCAAACATAATGTAGTGTCTTCTACAAGCTCAGGCCCCAGGTAGGTAATAAGTTCCATGTGGGCAGATGCCCGCATGTGTGCAAAGCCTCCTTGAACTCAAAGGGGCTCGACATGAGCACAGCGTTTGCTGCTCCGAGGATCCAATTGAAGCCAATGGAACCATTAACTCAATGGTCATTGAATCAGACTCTGAGCTCATTGCAGCATCAGGACCAAAGATATGCATGTGATCTTTTAATTAGAGAGAGTATAGCCTTAATTGCACAAGTGTAATGTTTTTTGCATTTAATACTTACATTAAAAAAAGTTACCAGTAATTATACTAATAGTCACTGTTGGCAAAGGCAAATGGGTAGAAAGCAATATGATTAGCAACCATTAGTAAACTGTACACTTGTAGACCGAGGCTCCAATCCTGAATTTGGATCCCCACAGTTGGACCCTTGTGCCCATGCAGAGTTCTGTTGACTGATGTGAGCTCACACAGATCTGATTGCAGGAGCAGGATATTAGTAAGCACCAGTCAACCATAGAATAACTAGTGTCTGTCATTGTAAGCTAAGACACCAATTCTTCTAGCACTTATGCATGTGAATAGGCCCATTGTACTGAATAGAACCAGTCGTATGTTTGCCTTGTTAGGGCCCAATTATGTTTTTCCATACCTATATGTGTGCTTGTGTGTATACATACTTCTAAGAGAAGAGTGCAAAAGCTATTTATTGAGCATAACTCCCTGTCTCCCCTATCCCAGTGCTGGAGCCCCCATGCATTCCATCAACTTGTGCTTCTGGGGGAAGTTGCATTCAAACTGAACATTTAAGTTAAAGTTTCTGAAAATCATTCCCCTCTTCCCGTCTTCAAAAAGTAGAATACTTAATTACAGACAAATTCAGAACAGTGTCTACTTTAACTATATCTTAGAATCTGTGTATGAGAGAGACAGAGAAAATAAGGATTTATAATGGAGCACTGTTTGCTACTTTAACGTGGAGATACATTCATATTATGAAGGTTAGATTAACCCCTTTTGGAACCTGGCATTGGTAAACTGGGGGTTAAAACCCCATCCTAGGTTCCCAAGCAGTGAGAAGTCCTACAGCTGTGACCAGCAATTAGACTTGTCAACATTTATCTAGAGACTCCTGCTGTCTTATCAAATCTAATTAACAACATACTCTTGATTTCCCCAGAGCAGGGAGAAGAGATAGAAAAGGAAAGAGGATATAACCAGAGGCTAAGAGGGCTGGGGTATGTGCGTATTCATTGCTGTGTTATAAGCTTTACTTTTTTTCTTTTTGAACTATTGCTGAAGGAAGAACTTCTTATCTGAACTAACCCTTTTGGGGAAATCTGCTTAAGCAGGACAGCTACTATGCCAGCTGGGCTATTATAAGTAGGCAAGCAGGTGAGGTGAGAGAATAAAGGGCATTTTTGTATTGGCCTCATCTGTCTAGTCCTTCTGTTAATGAAATGAAAAGGTCTACAATCTGCGGTTTTGTGCTTTTATTTTAGCTCTGTAAATGTTAATCTCTGTGTGGAACACATCCTGTTTTCCCTACTGATAATATAGCAACTTTTAATCATTATTTGAAGTCATATTTTGGTTATAAAAGGTAACTAGAGTGCCTGACATTATCTGGGAAGACGTGGACAGTAGCAATGTAAACTTCCCCCATGCTGCTCTGCAATGCACCTCAAATGTGACCTAGAAACCCCCCTCCCCCCCGAGAGAGTTCAGTCCCCATACAAAGTAAGTCCTTGACTTCTCTGCAGAGACTACAGACGTTCAGTTGCAATGTAGACATGTGACATGTCCATCAAGTGAGACCATCCTGTCACCAAATAGGCCATCAAATCCTAATAAAATAATAATGCATTTCCGTTCTGCTAACCAGGGCTTAATTTGAACTAGTGGTTTAAGCACCAAGACTGCAAACACGTTAGCATATCCTTAACTTTGAGCACGTAAGGAGTACCTGCATGCTTAAAGATCAGCTCAGGCACGTTTGCAGAAGCCTGGCCTTAGTGTTCACAGTCTTATCGCCAAAAAGCAATCTTCTAATCCTCCCATAAATCAACTCAGAAAATAATTGCTAACTGGGACATTTGGTCATTGGTCTGTGTGACGGGTTGAATCAGAGAAACCCCCTGGGAGCTGCCACCTGATGTGCCAAGACTACTTCTGCCCCTGCTTTCCTGCTCTGGCAGCTTAGGACTTCAGTGCCCTGCCTGGTTTGAGCCAGACCCGCTAGCCTGCTGCAAACCCAGACCCACGGTCTGAACCACGTCCCCTAACAGCTGTAGCCTTAACTGAAAGCAGCTTACAGAAGTGTTCTTGTATTTAACGCTCAGATGTCCAACTCCCAATGGGGTCTAAACCCAAATAAATCCGTTTTACCCTGTATAAAGCTTATACAGGGTAAACTCATAAATTGTTTGTCCTCTATAACACTGATAGAGAGAGATGCACAGCTGTTTGCCCCCCCCCCAGGTGTTAGTGCATACTCTGAGTTAATTAATAAGTAAAAAATGATTTTATTAAATACAGAAACTAGGATTTAAGTGGTTTCAAGTAGTAACAGACAGAACAAAGTGAATTACCAAGTAAAATAAAATAGAACACGCAAGTCTATGTCTAATAAACTTAATACAAATAACACCTCACCAGTTCCAGTAAGCTTCCTTTTACAGACTAGTCTCCTGCTACTCTGGGTCCAGCAATCACTCACACCCCCTCTAGTTATTGTCCTTTGTTCCAGTTTCTTTCAGGTATCTTTGGGGGTGGACAGGCTGTCTCTTTAGCCAGCTGAAGACAAAATGGAGGGGTCGCCCACGGGCTTAAATGGACTTTCTCTTGTGGGTGGAGATCCCCTTCTCTCACCTATGCAAAGTCCAGCTCCAAGATGGAGTTCTGGAGTCACCTGGGCAAGCCACATGTCCATGCATGACTCACAGTTTTTACAGGAAGAAGCCATTGCCCACATGGTATCTTGAATGTCTCCAGGAAGACTTCTTACGCGGATTGGAGCATTCCAAGATGCATTGTTCCTTAAGTGCTTCTTGATTGGGCACTTAACTTTGTGAATTCCTTTCTCCAGGAACTGACCAAATGCTCTACTAAGGTTATTTAGAAATCAAGCCAGTACACAGCCAATATTCATAACTTTGAATACAAAAATGATACATTCATTCAAACAGGATTAATAGATCATAATGTTTACATAGATATGTTACATGCATATGTAGCACAGAACATAGTCCAGTTATGTCATATATATTCATAAGCATATTTCCATAAAGCCTTATGGGGGGCACCGTCACAGTCTGTATTGAGACCTTGGAGGTTTATTACAGAAAAAGCTCTTCTTTAATAAGTTTTTTTGATACTCCTTCTCATAAACAAATTAGGGAAATACAACCTAAATGGAGCTACTATAAGGTGGGTGCATAACTGGTTGGAAAAGCGTTCCCAGAGAGTAGTTATATCAGTGTTTTTCAGTGAAGTTGGAAGGGCATATTGAGTGGGGTCCTGCAGGGATCATTTCTGGGTTGGGTTCTGTTTGATATTTTTATTAATGATTTAGATAATGGCATAGAAAGTACACTTATGAAGTTTGCAGATGATATCAAGCTGGGAGAGGTTGCAAGTGCTTTGGTGGATAGGATTAAAATTCAAAATGATGTGAACAAACTGGAAAAATGGTCAGAAGTAAATAGGATGAAATTCAATAAGGACAAATGCAAAGTACTCCACTTAGGAAGGAACAATCAGTTGTATGCATACAAAACAGGAAATGACTGCCTAGGAAGGAGTATTGTGGAAAGGGATCTGGGGGTCATATTGGATCACAAGCTAAATATGAGTGAACAGTGTAACACTGTTGCAAAAAAAAGCAAACATCATTCTCGGATATACTAGCAGGAGTGTTGTAAGCAAGACATGAGAAGTAATTTTTCCGCTCTACTCCACTCTGATTTGGTCTCAACTGGAGTATTGTGTCCAGTTCTGGGCACCACATTTCATGAAGGATGTGAACAAATTGGAGAAAGTCCAGAGAAGAGCAACAAAAATGATTAAAGATCTAGAAAACATGACCTATGAGGGCAAATTGAAAAAAAAAAATGGGTTTGTTTAATCTGGAAAAGAGATGACTGAGAGAGGACATAACAGTTTTTCAATTACATAAAAGGTTGTTACAAGGAAAAGTTTCCTGGTCCAAATCCCACCCGCTCCACACACCTTCCACCCTCCAAAACCTTGCCATTAAGCACAGCCAATCTCTCCCAGCAAATTTTATTTCGCTGTTCCATCCAATGCTGAGGGGGTACGGGTTCTATGCACTGCAGGGGCGGCAGTCCCTGTGGCCATCCCTCCCATGTATTTCTCTGTCCCACCCATACTAAGCCTATGCGTGGATAGTACACCTCGGACCCCATTAGAAACCATTTGTCATTATTTTCTATTAGCACTTGCCACACAGGTTCTTGGGACCATTTCCATTTGCACCCACCCCTGAACCCCAGCTGTAAAAGGGTGGCCGAGGTCTATTTTCCTCTAGCCACTCCCCTGACAGGAAGGGTACACCGACCCAGTGTGCAGTCTCCCAGCATTGTCTGCCAGGTGGCTCTAAAGGGCCAATACACCTTTAATT